AGGATTTTTCTTAATTAAGTCACTTAAGTGGAAAGGTCCACTTTTAATCCAGATCTTTTGAGATGGGAAGACCCACTTTTAATCTGGGCCACACCTTCTGCTGGCAGCCTATATAAAAGACATGAAAGAAGGAAACCTGCTCTCCTTATCTGCTTGCGCTTACTGTCACTCTTATCAACAAGACTATTCCTCCGCTGGCATGAGAGGGTACTTATTCAGTATTATGACACACACTGAATAACAGCTGAGTAATCTAGCCTTGTGAACTAAACAACGGCTGGATCTTGGGCCTTCTGTTGGTATACAGCTCTTGTTGGATCAACTGGACCACAACCTATAAGCCACTGTTTTAAAAGCCCCCTGTATACATTCAGTCTATAAGTTCTGTTCCCCTAGAGAACCCTGAATAATGCACTGGCTAACAGCCAGTGCCATCCGGTACACTGGGGTGCAGTAAGCCTATGAACTGAAGTTGTCTGTTGTACACAAGTCCGAAGTAGACAAGGACTAATGGGCCATTTAAGATCAGTTCCCAGTGAGTTTGCAATGTTAAGAATGTTAATTTCCTCTGCTTACCAAGACTACAGGAACAGAAAAAATGACCTCAAGTAATCCTCACACATGTCATATATTGAACTAAGGTGGACTTAGAGAAATCTGATTATAGTTCTGGTTTGATTAAATAAACCATGACTTTTTTCTTGTGTTTTCAGTTAGGTGTAAGCATTACATTCCTAAAGTTATGCACTCTAGAAATTTAATGCAAGATCAAAGAAGACATTATTCTTTTCCATTAAAACTCATTTGAATGAAAAACTAATTCTTTCAATGCCACAGAAAATCCTTTGTATCATCAAAAGAACGAAGAAGAAACAAAGATTTCTTTAAAATATTTCCAGATGTAATATGCATTTTAGAAAATTAAATGAGGACATTACGGCAAAGTATCTAAACTAAAATCCATACTGATCACTCTAGTGTGAATTGCCAATACCAGGAGGTGGCCAAATAAGCTCATTGTCGTAAACAATGCTCCAAATGCTGTCTTTGTTATCACAGAGCCTTAAACGGTAATCTGACTCAGAGATTCAGAAATTGTTAAGAGCTCTAATAATTTACGGAAGTTGATAAGCATTCAATTCACAATGAGGTGAGTCCTAATGTTTTTCTTTCTTTACATGATTTTTTTTATGCTCTACTTAAGATCACTGTGAGTCATTCCATGAAAGAAGATTGTGTGGCATCGTTTGATTTCATTTTCCACATGAATCTCTGAGTTAAGCTAGAGCCTGTTGTCCATATCTAAATAGTAGGCACTGGAACCAATACCTGCAATGAAGCTATGGGTAAACGCTTTTGAATGAAACTCCAGATAAGTGCCAAGAAAAGCTGTGACTTGTGCACAAGTCTTCACAAACTACCGGAGCTTGAATGCTACACAGTCAACTACAGCATCCTCCGTCCAGAGTCCCTAAACCTGACACCCTTATAAGGGGCTTTTAGAAAAAAATCACATAACCATTCCAAAACCTGAGTTCTACTTTAGTGCCTAAAGCTGGCTCATCCAGAGTGAAAGTTTAAGTTGAAGGCACTATGAGAAGGTTTGTTTCCTAAGCCACTGGAAGTGGGGAGTAGCAGTGGGGAAATAGGATCCACACTGCCCACACATGTTCATAAAAGTTCGGCTTCCCTCTAGGAGGCCAGCAGGGACAGCAGAGGAAAGATCATGTAAATCAAAGCCTACACTGGAAACGAAGCCTGGGAGCTTCAGCAATTTGTCGCTAAGTGATCATCAAAGCTGCCCCTACATCCTCATTAGACAGAGGCCATCCGAGGTAATTATGGGTGAAATGATGGGATGTCTGTGATTAGCATAAAGAGACTAAAAGGGGAGAAAGTGTGTGGAACAGGTAGGAAGATGAGCAAAGTAAAGGGATTTGATGTTGGGGCTCACATGCTATTGTTTTTATTTTTTGGGGGGTACATCACAGTGGTACACCACCTGTCTAAGTAGAAACCGCCCTCAGTTTCATCTCACCCAAATCCACAATTAAATATACAGGTATACATACACCAAACTGGGTATGTGGAGAGAGAGCAAGATCCCAACAAGTCAAATGCTATTAGAAAATAACTATTTTTAATGATCTATAATTTTGTTATTCTTTCCTCCTGTTGTAATTAGTGGATAAAATTTAATAGTATTTAAGGGCATTCACATTCATACCAAATAATTAATATGCTGTAGTCATTGAACATTTGCCTTAGTAAGTAAATCGAGTATATATCTTACAACTTGGAGCAAAGTACACATTTATCTAGTCAAGCGTTATCTTAACATGGATGCCTGATTTTGTACAGTTAGCTTTAAAGCATGGATAGTATCTTAAAATTGATCTTTCACTCTCCAGTCCCCAGCTATCTCACTGTATTGTCAGGTTACTGACAATGCTCTAGAGGCAGTCACCACCAGCCTACAAAAGTAAGCACCTTTATTGAGCAAGCCTTCCCGTCTCTGCATTACTTGGTGCTTCTAACTCAGCACTAACTAACTGTGCCCTTTGTGCATGAGATCCTAGCACTGTATATATTGTACATATTTGTCTTACTTAACTCTGTCAACTCTTTTACCATCTTCATGACTTACTATGAAAATACTGACATGCCTCAGACTTGTCTTTCTATTTTTCTCATTGTCAAGTCTTTCTTGAGTTACACAAGCATTCCGTTGCCTAAAGTACAATTTCGAGGCTAATTCCAAAGATGCATCTGAAGCCCCAAGTGACCCTCTAAGTCTACCCTACCTTTAAATAGGCAAGTGTCACAAACAAAATTCAACGTTAGTATTCAGGCCTGCCCTTGGGGTTCTGACAGGATACACCCTCAGCTGTGGTCACTAAAAGCACCACCTGTGCACATTCACTAGCCTTCACTTTTGAAAGGGCCCTGCCCACCTCCCACTCCTCTCCTCTCTCTCTCTCTCTCTCTCTCTCTCTCTCTCTCTCTCTCTCTCTCTCTCTCTCTCTCTCTCTCTCTCTCTCTCTCTCTCTCTCTCTGTGTGTGTGTGTGTGTGTGTGTGTATGTATGTGTGTCTGTCTGTCTCTGTCTCTTTTCTCTTTTTCTGCTCTTGTCCTCAGAGGCCAGTCTTCATCCACTCCCCCATTCCCCATCCCCTTCCCTTTTCCCCATTACCTTTCTCCTAATTAAAAAAAATATCCTCCATGTGAGCTCAGCTTCATGGTGTCTTTCTCTTGTGCACCGCTTTTTAAATTACAATAATATCATTCTATATTTATTTTTCCATAATCTTAACATTCACCCAGTATCTGCATTTTGTGACACCTGCTGGTGGTTCTTCTCTTGAATTTCTTTCCTTTTCCTATTGGATCTTGCCTGCCATCCACGATTAGTTTAAAAACTATCTGGAAGTCGTTTTATTCCATCAGCAACAGAGACTCAGAACCAATACAATGAACTCAGAGTTTTGGTATATATTATTCTTAGAGGTTATAATCTGGGAATATTGAGAAAAATAATAAGAATTGAGGGATTTTGAAGTCATAGTTGGCTTTGCATGCCATCTCCTTCATACACATGTAAGTTAATCTGTGCTATCCGATTATGTATGGGGCAGGAAGACAAACATGAAGCTTTGGGCCTCTTTGAATACCTAATGGAGAATTGAGGTTTGGTACCTTGGATCAGCAGCATTTTGCTAGATACCTGAATTTTCAGAAAAGAAAGAGGTAATATGCACTCACTTAATTTGAACAGCCAGGACTACAAGCCCAGACCCCTCTTTACAATTGTGTTTGAATAACAGAGCATTCTGAAGCGAAAGAAAAATGCCATGTCACAAATCCTTTCTAACCTATGACAAAAAATTAAGCTCTAAAAAAATGTAAACAACATGGATAATTTCCCTTACTTATATTTTGTATCTTTTAGAGATACTTAAATTTGATTTTAAAGACTTTTTTGCATCTCTAAGAAAATATTAATTTTTTAAGAGAGCTACAAATAAGTTTAAGAGAAAAAAACTAATATTATTTGGGGGCCACTTAAAGCAGAGAAATTGGACAAAGGCTGATAATTGCATTTTCATCATACTCCACAAGATGTCAGCATGTAACTGAGCAACTTCAGCTGGGGTGCGGGGTGTTTTCCCTTAAGTAGAACAATAGAAGGCCTTTCCCTCATTCTGAGATCTGCCACCAGAGCTGTGTTAACTCAATTCATAAATATATTTGCAAGCATATTTCAATTATTGTAAACATGATTCTTAATATATTCTTACTGCAGTTTGCAAATGATGGATTTTTTTTATTTTAATTTTCTTCTCTACAATATAAGTTAACGATTCTTCTGACCAAATCACAGACCTTAAATCCTTACAGGAGTCTAAGATTTATCTTCAGCCCCAAGATACCCCAGCCCAGGCAAGTATCTGGGGGAATCTTTATGGATGAAGGAGGTGAGTGGAGTGCAGAAGAATTTCATTCTCTATACATCATAAAATCAGTGGGCATATAGTGTGTGTGTGTGTGTGTGTGTGTCTGTGTTTGTGTGAATGAGTGTGTGTGTGAGAGTGAGAGTACGGGTGTCTATATGTGCTGTGTGAGTCTGTGAGTGTGAGTGTGTGTGTGTATATGTGTGTGTGTGTGAGTGAGAGTATGGGTGTGGGTGTTTATATGTGCTGTGTATGTCTGTGAGTGTGAGAGTATGTGTGTGTGTGTGTGTGTGTGTGTGAGTGAATATGTATGTGTGCCTACACGTGCACATACTTACAGGCGGGACAGCCTTCTCTTGACATGATTCCTTGTTCACCATTACTAAACCACATGCTGAGTCCCAACACCTGACCAACTTTCAATATTATTAGAAGAAAAGGAACTGGTATCTTTCATCTGTGACTACTACCAAGGCCCAATAACTGAGAGAAGGCCATCCAATGAGATTACTTAAATCACAGTAACAATAGACCTTCAAGATTTTCTTACCTCATTTGTAGTTTTCTCTTGCTTTTCATGTTTTTCTCGGTCATAAGCCATTTTCTTCAGCAATTTCTTCATGGCTCTTCTTTCCTTTTTCTGGTTTTCAGTGTTTTGCTTCCTCACTTGGTTTACAATAAACTTGGGAATCTATGGAGAAAAGAAATTCAGCTTGAGGAAGAAAATGATATAAAAGACACGGAACCCTTTTAAACTAAATACTTTTTTCTTTTTCTTGCTTTTAATTTCAAGAGGAATAAAGCTTCTGTTTCTCAAGACTAAGCCATTTCACTGTGCTGTTCATTAGCCCTGTGAAAAGAAATGAACCATGTGCTTACTTAGACCAGGAACAGGGCATCCATTTGGTGTAATTTGCCACCCACTGTGCAAGGGTGCCAGAGGGACTTTGTGAAGTTCAAGGACATACTGGCCACTTGTGTGCATGGCTGTCAACACAGGAGATTCCCTGAGGAGACCCATGTGGGGGCCACTACCTCTACAGTTGTCCCCTTAGCAACCACCTCTTGATGGCCCCTCTAAACTAACCTACAGGTCCCTTCCAATAATTCAGATGGCCTCTACTGCCAGACCAGAAAAAAAGCTCGCCTATCAACAAAAGCCAAAAATTGGCCAGCGGCTCTCCTAAAAATACACTGTACTAAAAAAAAAATTACACTGTACTTCTAAAGATACAAGAAAACTTATTCTTAGACATTATATTAAGAATAAAATCTTCTAGGTAATTAAAATTTAGCTATAAAATAATGCTGCTTTCAAAGGAGGTAGGCATGAAACTGATCATTACTTTAAATATATTTGAAATAACCTACATCATTTGCCTTTGGATAGTATATAAAAAGCCTTGAGAGTCTAGAAAGCGTCATTTTGTATTTGTAAAACATATTGAGATTAGGAGAGGCTCACATTGAGGTTTAAAATAGTTAATAGTATAATTTGGCTTGAGATTTCTTTAGTTCATTTTTCTAAATGCGTGTAAAAAAATGAAAAAGGACTCTCTTCCCTGTTTCTCTGCCAAAAATACAAATTTCATTGAAAAATGAGACTGTAATCAACTAAATCTCTCATCAGCATCCATGTTGATGATCTGTTAAAACTTAAGATCAACATAAAAGCAAAGCAGGAAACTGCATTCAAGACCTCAGCAATCGGAGTGCAGAATGCGTGTGCCCCTTTAAATAGCAGTTCCATGGAAAATAAGGGAATGATGGGAGCAAAGACAGCATGAGCTCTTTAAAACATGACAGCCTGAACACTGAGCAAAGGGGAAATGTGCCGAAGGAACTACCTAAGAAGTACCTTTTACAAGGCATGTTTGCTTGACCTAATTTTGTGATTCTAAAATAGAAATTCACAAGGCCTTCTTTACCTCTGTGAATAAAGTGCCTTTAATACCTCTGCACTCACACATGGTAATGGTAATTTTATAAGGTTAGCAGCTAACATGCAGTGTCTTTTTAAGCCATTGAGGAAAAAAAGCACATTGCTTTAAATATCAACTTTATAAAGTTATTTTCATGATTATTAAGAACGATTATGCTAGGAAATTATATGATCACTATTGCAGTTTTAAAACAAATACCACATGTTTTTCTTATATGAAGAAACTAGATCTAAACTTTTGTGTATGTATAAGCGTGTGTGTACATATCCATGTGTATTAGAAAAGGACTGATGAGAAAGAAGGAAGAGATCCTACAGTAGAGAAGAAAGGAGGATTATGGAATACATACAATAAAAAGATAAAACAGTACCAACTGGAGGAGAGAAGAGAATAAATGCAGGCATAAGTTTAAAACAAAAGTATAATGACAAATAAGTATGAAGATGTCACTATGAAACTCAAGACTTTGCACACTGCCCTAAAAAGTTAAGTTAAAAACATATACTTACTGTCCATAGAAGTTTCTGGTACTTAATCAATAAGTGCATGACATTTGCCGTCCCAACTGCCATTTCAAATTCTCGATGTTCACTGGACTTCAAACCAAGCGTATGGCACATGAAGAGATTTGGGGCCATGACCATTGCTACATTCACAATTGTCATTTTATTCTGCTCTTTATTGTCAATGACTCTTTGAAGAAATTCAAGCAAGGCCTAAAACAAAAATGACCAAGATTTCTGTCACACATGTAGATAAAGGCACTGTAGTACATAGGACTTTTATGTCATTTTTTTAAAATGATGCTATCTAACTCTACATTCCTTTTGAAAAAATTCATATGGAAATCACCTATTACATAAGCTTCCAAAAATAGATTCATAACATAAAAAGAGTTTAAGTGGAGTTACCTTGAATGGGACAATAGCCCAACTTAACACCACAAGCTAGCAAATGAAAATCCCAGTACCAGGGATAGGCTACCTCTTTTGGAATAGTTGACCAATAGCTATTTCCATTGTTCTTGGTTATTCCTCAGAACATAACAGTATGACTCTGTTGCTGAAGATGCCACATATTTGAATCACAGAACAAGGAGAAATGAAGATGACAGCTATCTCAGAGCTTTATCCCTACTTGCTAGTTTTCAAGGTACTGGAAGGTGCTATGCTATGTATGCTACCTGAAGACAAAAAGTAAACATCAATCTTATCCAGTTGTGAACTCTGTGAATTACAATAATGACTGTCCTGACAAGACATGTCCACTGGTGGAGTAGCGGCACAAATATCATGGGAATAACCAACCACTTTCTTATTAGATTTAAACCCTATTCCACAAGAAGGAAACTATACTTGATACCATAAGCTAGGCCAAGAACCTATGCCTACAAAGATCATAGACCCTAGGGAAAAACTTACTACTATTATTGTGCCAAATGGAAATAGTATTAAACCAACCCCCAATGACTTACTACTATACGTATAGATCAGGGCCACTCTTAATCCTCATAAGAAAGGCTTATTCTTGAGACAGCAATTGATACAGAGACCCACACCTGGCCAAGGTGCAGAAAGTAAGAGACTGCAGAATAGTCAGCCATAAATTTTACATCTATATCACATGTCTTCCCTCAAGCCTGGAGTTTTATCAGGAAATAGGGGACAGAAGGATTGTAAGAGCCAGAGGTGACAGATGACTAGAAAGGAACAGTATTTACCACACAGTAGTGCAGTTGCGATTGCCACAGAATGAGTAAGACCTATACAAGCATAAGCCAATCAAAACCCCAGCATTGACGGAGGAGAACTAGGAACTGGTCCTACTCCCTGGGGTACCTGGGCTACACAAACAGGATCCAATGGTCTTAAAAGGAAAACAAAAAAAGAAAGAACATGAAGTTGGGTGGGTAGGGAGGTGAGGGTGGATCTGAGAGCAGCTGGGGGAAGAGTTGATCAAAATATACTGTATGAAATTATCATAAAAATTAATAAAATTGTTAATTATCAAAGAACTAGCAAAAGTGTTACCCAAAATATAACTAGTAAAGGAAGAAACACTTTTTTGCTGTGATACATCTCAGCAGGTAAGAAGACTTGCCTTCAGGCCTGTCAACATGAGGTCAATCAACAGAACCTGCACGGTGAAAGGAAATAACCAGCTCCTAGAATTTGTTCTCTGAACTTTCATATGTGCCTTGACACACGTGCCCTATGCACGTAAACACACAAATAAATAAATGTCAGAAACATTAAATAGAACTAGTAGCCAGGACTGAGGATGACTCCAATGGCAAAGTGCCTGTTAGGTAAGTTTGAAGACCCATATTTGATTCCTGGAACCCATGTAAAAAGTTGGGTTAGCTGGACAGTGGTAGCTCACTAGGGAGGCAGAGGCAGGCAGATCTCTGTGAGATCAGGATCAGCTTGGTCTACAAGAGTTAGCTGGTTCCAGGACAGTCTCCAAAGCTACATAGAAACCCTGTCTCAAAACCCCCACCCCAAAACTAAGTTGGGTTAGACAGTATGTGTTTGGGGAGGCAGAAATGGGCTTATTCATCAACCTGCCTGGCCTAATCCAGTCATCTCTAGGTGATCAGAGAGGGATTCTCTCTCAAAAAACAAGAGAGTCAGCTCCTTGGAATGACACCCAAAGTTGACCTCTAGCCTACACACACACACACACACACACACACACACACACACACACACACACACACACACACACACACCACACCATACCACACCAAGCATGTATACATGCAATGTGAGTCATGTATAACCACCTATCTCTAGCCAACAGGCCTTATCAGCAAAGTTCCTCAGACAGATGAATGAAGCCCAAAATGGTGCTTTGCTTCTCCGAAACCCACAGCGCTGGGCAGCAAGGAAGAGAGTGCCTCTGACATGGCAGAGAGATGTGTAGCAATCCAGGCCTCTAAATATACAGGAACTGCAGAGCACTGAAAGTAGTTTCAAATAGCATATAAACATTCACATGTTTCAGAAAATGCTAATTATTTCACCTCAAGGAAAGAGTGAGACAGGGAGGCAGGTAAAGAAAAGGGAAGGATATAAAATGAAAAGGAAGGAAAAACAAGAAGAAAATCAGATGAGATCAGGAACATTTAGGGTGGTATAGCCGTAGACAGTGTGGAAAGCATGGAACTGACCCAGACCCCCTGAATGTGTCAATGAGGAGGCCTAGGTAATCTATGGGGCCTTGGGTAGTATTTACCCCTGGCATACAAATAGACTTTGAGTGCCCATGTCACAAAATGGGAGGCTCTCTTAGTCGGGACTCTTGGGGGAGGGCCTAGACCCTGCTCTGGATGAGATGACAGTTACTGGAGATCCACCATGGAGGGCTTCACCCTCCTTGGTGATCAGAGTGGAGATTGGGTGGGGGACTGGGGGACCTGGTGGGGAGGGCAGGGGAGGAGAGGAGGGTGAGGGAGCTGGGATTGACATGTGAAACAAGATTGTTTCTAATCTAAATATAATAATAATAAAATAAAGGAACCTATTTTTATTGAAGAAGAAGAAGAAGAAGAAGAAGAAGAAGAAGAAGAAGAAGAAGAAGAAGAAGAAGAAGAAGCAGAAGAAGAATCAGAAGCAGAAGAAGCAGAAGCAGAAGCAGAAGCAGAAGCAGAAGCAGAAGAAGAAGAAGAAGAAGAAGAAGAAGAAGAAGAAGAAGAAGAAGAAGAAGAAGAAGAAGAAGAAGAAGAAGAAGATCTTTAAGAAAGTACACTCTACCTTAGTTTCATTCTCACTAGGGGACTCCATAGCTTGCTGTCACAACACCTGAACAAAGTGAGCTTTGTTGGGGGTGAGGGAGCTACCAAAGAAAAGAGAGGTTTTTAAAAACTGAGGGGATAAGTGAATGGGAGTTTTGCAGACTATGTTAGGTCTCGCTCAGCATCAACATTGCCATGTCCACTTCTTCCACACACTCTGAACTGAGGCATGTGATGGTTCTTTTGCTTTTTTTTTTGGTTTTTCGGTTGATTTTCTCCAGAATAACACTAACTGGACGTGTGTTTGATGTTCTCCATGAATGTGGCACTTTATCCACACATTTTAGAGGTCATCGTTTTAATACTCATGAGAGGCTGACACTATAGCTACCCCAGATTGCAGAGGAGGAAGTGATGCCTTAGAGAACAATACTGGAAAGCATACAACTAGCAAATGCTGTGCAAATAATTTAATCCCAGCTCTCTATGGCTTTTGTTTCCGAACTCCTAACTACACAAGGAATCACATTTTCATAGTTATCCTAAAATCGCTACCTGAGAAGTCAACATAGGCTAGACCCAAATGGAAGGAACAAAGCCAAATAAAACTGGCCTTTTTACAAGATTTCAGGGCAGAAACAAAAAACAAACAAACAAAAACACACACAAAAAAACCAGGCTCTAGTGCTAACAGGTTGATCTTATATCAGATTTATTTGCAATATAGACCTCAGACATCTGAAGCAAACTAAAGGCTTAATATCTAACAGCAAAATTTATGTATCTAATATCTGGTACAGTGCTTGCAAAGCTAAATTGTAATCCAAGCATTGTGCTGTATTGAAGCAACATGATCACAAATGAGGACAAAAGATTAATTGAAGTTTAGGAAAAAATATTTAATTTTGTTCCACAGGGACCAGAATGGTTTCTTGGGGACCAGTGTATCTCTTTCTTTATGAGCATAAATTACAAAGATTAGCTAATTATTTTAATTGTGGTGTGCATATGCAATAAGACTGTTCAAAACATTACTAGAGGAATGCCAGGGAGAAAAGGGGGGAAGGGAGGGGAAGAGATGGAGCGGAGGAACCAGAAGATAAGTTAGTAAGATGCTGGCTCAGAGCTCTTGGAACCCAGACTAATGGCTGGAAGGCCAGAATGGGACTGATCCAGATCCCCTGAATGTGGGTATCAGTGAGCAGGCCTAGGCAATCTATGGGGCCTTGGGTAATAGAGTATTTATCACTGGCATACAAATGGACTTTGGCTGCCATCCCACAATGAGGGATGCTCTCTCAGCCTGGACTCTTGGGGGAGGGCCTAGGCCATACCCTGAATGAAATGACAGACTCTGGTGATCCCCCATGGAGGGCCTCACCCTCCCTGGGGAACAGAGTGGGGGACTGGGAGACCTGTTTAGGTGGTGGGGGAGGAGGGGAGGGAGAGGGAGCAGGGACTGACATATGAAGCAAGCTTGTTTCTAATTTAAAGAAAAAAAAAGAAAGAAAAACGAACTGCTGAATAAAACCATCCTAGATACTTAAAACAAAACAAAACAAAAGATGCTGGCTCAGGCCTTGACAAAGCTACACTGAAGAATGGCTGGACCATTTTAAGCGGTTACAAACCATGCAGAGAGCCTGGTGTGAAAAGACTGAGTCTTTGCAAACCTAGAGGCCAGGCTAGTAGTTACTCATTAGCTAAGAGTGCTCATAGGGTGTCTGTTTTCAACACCTCTGTAAAAACGTGTCCCTACGTAAAGTGAGAATACAGCTCTCCTAAACTTCAAGGACTGTGACACAATATATAACACAGTTTTGAAATTAAGTAAAATAAAGAGAGAGCCAGAGAGATGGCCTGGCCCTTAAGGAGATTTGTTCTTGCAGAGGATGAGTTTGATCAACAGTACCCATATGGGGTGGCTCACAATCACCTGTAACTTAAGCCCTCTTCTGCACTCACACTACTCACACACACACACACACACACACACACACACAAAACAAACAAACAAATAAAAACAAAAAAACTATTAAAGGACTGTGGGTAACTGGGCAGTTGGCTCAGTGGTTAAGAGCAGTCAATGTTCTTGCAAACCAGAGTTCAGTTCCCAGTACCCATACTGCACAGCTCACAACTGCCTGTAACTCCATCTCCATGGAGATCTGACACTCTCTTTTGGACCTTGAAAGTACTACATAAGTGAGGTGTGAGCACATTGGCACTGTTGGGGGGTGGGGTGCAGTAACAGAACCAGATAAGTATTGCTTACTGATTTTTTTACTATCTTTTTCCAAAGTTTATAATTAGCCCCTACTCCCACATGATAAACTTCTGTTTATTGTCAAGGTCAGGACCTTTCTATGCTTATGTGCCAAGGCTGGCCTTAAACTTTCTACCTTCACTTCTTAGCCTCCTGTGTCATAGGGTTTCTATGCTCTACTATCTTACTTACTTTTCTATGCCCACAAGAAACCAAGACCAAGGCAGTTTATAGGAGAGTTTCTTTGGGGCTTACAGTTCAGAGGGTGAGTACATGACCATCAGGCAGGCAACATGGTATCAGGGAGCAGGCATGGTGCTGAGGCAGTAGCTGAAAGATTATACCTTGATCCACAAGTAGAAGGCGGAGAACCCTCAAAATCTGCCCCTACTGATACACCTCCGCCAATAAGGCCACACTGCCTAATCCTTCCCAAACTGTTCCACCAACTGGGGACCAAGTGTTGAAGAAATGAGCCTGTGCGGACTTCTCATTCAAGCCACAATGCCTAGCAACACTGAGCTTACATATCTGAGGCTAAGGAAAATCAACCTAGTGTGAAAACAATCCACACCAATCCCAAGAACCTCTAATGATACTACTACTGAGATCATTAAATCAGAAGGGTGATGACTCTATCAAATTACTTCAGTATAATTATACAAATCAGAACTTCCAGCCCTGAGAGAAGTAACTTAATGTTAACGAATATTTTAGCTGCCATTGTGACTTATTTCAGCCTCTACCACTTCTAACTATAAACACCAATCACATCTTCAGGAAACAATGTGTCACATATGATATGGACACTGGCACTTGCATTTTAAACGCCTATTGTTTGCTTTATTGTACATGCTCACTAAGTAACATTGGGAAAACAGAAAAATCGAAAAAGGAAACACAGAAAGAGTCTATGTTTTCTATTCATCAATGAGCTTTAATCATCTGATCTTCCAGAAAGAATATTGGGAAAATTGGAAATACAAAGCTTAGAGCTAGCAGTGTGAAGCATGGGTGGCAGGGAGCTGGGGGTATGTCTTAAATTCAAGGCCAGCTAGGGCTGTTTGCCAAGACACATCTGAAAACCAGAACTGCACCAGGGAGATGACTCAGAGGGTAAACCACTGCCACAGAAGCTTGAGAACCAGAGTTTGGATCCTCAGATCCCACTTAAATGTTAGGAGGGTGTTATAATCCACCTGCAATCCCACACACAGGAGGGAGGCAGAGACTGGAGATTCTGGGAACTAGCTAGACTAGCTCGATCAGAAAGTTCTGTCTCAGGCCTAGAGCAGCTAAGAACTCTTGTCATTCCTGCAGCGGACCTGTTGGCAACACAAATATCAGATGACTCGGGACTGTCTGTCGTTCTAGCTCCAGGAGATCAGGTGCTCTCTACTGTAAGCACTGTAGGCAGCCTCAAACACAAACCTACACACAGGCACACACACACACAAAGTTACAGATAAATAAGTATTTTTTTAAAGAGAGGCCCTGCCCCAATATATGAGGCAGAATGCGGTCAAGGAAGACACCAAATGTTCACCTTCAGCTACCACACACACACACACACACACACACACACACACACACACACACACACACACACAACTATACCAACATGTATGCCCATACTCACACGAACTCTCTCTCTTCTCTCTCTCTCTCTCTCTCTCTCTCTCTCTCTCTCTCTCTCTCTCTCTCTCTCTCAAAAAGATACAAGTGCTCCAAAACAAAACAACCTAGGGGCTAGAGAGGTGAGTTAGTGGTTGAAAACACTTGCTATTGTTGCAGGAGACCAACATTCAATTCCCACATCCACAGAGAAACTCAAAAGCACAGATGCCTCCAGCTCCAAGGGATCTGATGGCCTCTCCTGGCTACCTTGGGCACCTGCACGTGCACAGAAGCAGACATGCAGATACACATATAAAGTAAATAAACCCTCTTTAAAACCCTTGGTAATATTAATAAAATTAGCAACCCAGTAAACCAATTAAGGGTGAAAGGCTGCCTCTCATTGTCTGTCCTTAAAAGCACTCTTTCCATTTTAGATGCATGTTGCTATTCCCAAAGCAAGCATCATACTGTTTTCCCACAAATAGTGAAAGAATTCCTCTGCGTCCTTCTAAGGGATATTTAGTGTAAACGAAGCAGCTGACCTTCAGTGTGTCTCTGTTTGCATCAGGTAGAAGGATGACAAGGAGGTTCAAAGCCTGCAATTGCTCCTTTCTGGTTGGAAGATCTGTAGATAGATGAAAGAAATCCAAAAACTTCAGGGAACTCTTTCCTTTCTTTTTCCATTTTTGAAAAAAAAAAAAGCCGTTGTAAACGTTACAGAGGAATGTAAGACACAGTGACTGAGCAGCCATTCTCACCGAGAGTGTTTGCTGGAGATCAGTGGAAGCAGCTGCTCCGAGCACCCTTAGTCCTAGGATGCTAGCTTCCAACTGTGATCACATGATGAGCAACCTTATGTTTGCAGACATACAGCAGTGATTTGGAAACAATTCTAACTTCCACATGGTATTTCTTCTCCAACGGAAACATGGGGAAGATTGGACAGTCCAGGAAGCGCTAGCAAGGGTAGGGTGCTTTTCTTTTTAAACATTGAAATTTATCTCTCAGTCTCAAGGGAACAAAATACAAGGGGAGAGAACTGACAGGCATAGAAAAAAATGGGACCTGGAATATGATAGGTGTCCAATAAATGTGTCTGGCATGAATGAGGAACCAATCAGCAAGGTAAGCTTCCAGGATGTATACATTATCATCACTGGCACCTAATATTCCCAGAAACTTAGAGTATTCCCAGCACTGCTCTGTCAGCCAGCAACAAATTTGATCCATATCCAGGAAATGCATTCAAAACAATGCAACTTCATCATTACAAATATTTTTAACAAAAGATGCTTCTTTCATTTAAAAGGAGATACTTTAAATAGTGGTTTTCTTATTGTCTTCATGGATTTTGAAAGAAAAAAGTTACGACACAAGATAACTTAGGCATTCACTCCAAAAGTACACAAACTAAACAATACTATGCAACTATGCAAATGGGAAATACACCTCCCTGTCATTGTTAATTGTACACCCATTCATTCACAAAGGGTTCCAGTTTGGAAGCCAAATGATTTCTTGAATATCATTACAGTACTGTTTCCTTTCCTGGTGGTTCCTAGGAGTAAATGGAACAATCACAGCAGTATATAACCATTGTAAGACGTCTGTGTTCCTGGAAAATAATCAAGATTACACTCGGAGTTTTCCAGGACCACAAAATGGCCACACATCAGAAAACCATGACCTTTTGCCAATGAGGAGCAGCAAAGCACTAGGTACCCATCCCCCTATACTACTCTAGGATCTGAGTTTTTAGGAGATAGTCATGGATGCTATGATATTTCCTTGTGCATTTATAATAACTGTGTGTGTTGCTCTCAACACTTGGCAAGAAAAACCCATCAGACATCTATGTGACTCACACAATTAAGATGCAATGTGTTCTTAAAGGCAGTGCAACTCATACGCACCTGAGGAGAACACTCTGTTATGTTTATGAAAAGAAAGTGGCATGGCATTTGAGCAACTCTTGACATCCATGAAACAATGTGTCTAACCAAAGACATCTGGTAATGTGCCCTATTCTGCCAATTGTCACTGAGACGGTAAATGTGAGTGGCACCCACTCCCAGGCGATTTCCCGATGGAAATCACTCACTCTGGACAGCCTGGAAGGCTTTGAGATACTCCACACTTAGCAGCGGCTGGGGCAGCTCCCTGAGAAAGAGCTTCAGCAGGCTGGCTGCATCATGCTGTTTGACACTTTCCCAGTTGAAAGTTCCTTCATAGAACTTCGCTTCTAGTTCTTGGCAAAGGTTCTGAATGGCACAAGGGGAAAAAGGAATTAGCAGCTAGCACATTTTTTTCTCTATTGAGTGTGTGTTTTCTACTTTACAAGAATCCTAATCTGTAAAGTGCTAGAGTAGTAAAAGTTAACATTTCCCTGTCACTCAGAAAAATGCCATCCCCAACCTTGGCTGTCCCGACACGGAGAAATTACACCCAAGGTTAAGAAAAGAGTTTCAACATTTTCACACACTTTAATTAGCAAAGGTTTAATTAAAAGATCGATTAAAATCATTTTCCATTAGGCCCTACGATTTGTCATTATATTAAAACAGAACATTTAGAATTCAAGATGATGTTATTGAGTTATTCAGAGGTGTGTTACATAACAAAACACATAAATCCATCTCTAGGCAAGCAAAAGGTTACCTCTAATTTGTTACCAGTAATTTGTCTAAATGCAAAAACCAAATCCTATAGATAAGGAGTCAAAAATAATTATAAAGATACCTATTTTCACTGGACCACCATCCCCCTGCTAGTTCAGGTTAACATTTGGATCCATATAGAATCAGGATGCTGAGATTGTCCATTCCAGATACTCTATGAGATGTGCCAACTCAACTACTGCTACTGCTGCTGCTGCTGCTTCCACTATTACTACTACATTAAGTTAGTACATGAATACTATTTTTCTGGATTCACTTTTAATATGGCATAAGCCCGAATATATCAGAAATCCTTCTAAGTCTCTATTACTGTAGCCACTTTCTCAAAGGACAGCTTCGACTTATGTTTTCTTTGGCTTCGGTGCTGGGGATGGAACTCTATGCACCCTGTATGCTAGGAAAGTGTTCCGCTGTTCTTCTGCTTCTCCCAACAAAACCCTCATTTTTTTTTTGCACTAATTGTTTTTGTAATTGGTGAAAAACATGGATGCTACCTCAGAAATTGGGAATGGAGTAAAAGAGGAGTAAGGGAAGAAAAAGAAAGGACTGGGCCAGGAGGAAAGGTGGAGAGAGAGGAAATGAGGAGACAGAGACAGAGACAGAGAGACAGAGACAGAGACAGAGAGACAGAGACAGAGACAGAGACAGAGAGACAGAGGAGACTCAAGGAGGGAAGGAGGCAAGAAAGAGTAGTGCAGAAAATTCAGTGGGGTAGGGAGACCAAATGTTTGCTCATCATCTTTAAATCATTTACAAGGGGCTAGCTGCAGCATGTTCCAGCCTTTGACGACAGGCTAGGTGGACCAGTTGACACAGTTGAAGCCACTTAACTGGTCTTCGAAATTACACTAGCTATTCCTTCTGTCAACACTGCCAACTATGTGGCTCTTGTCAAGGGCCTTAATTTGCTCCCCACCTGGAGTGCCATGTTCCTGTTCCTTCTAAAATCAAAACTCGATTGCTATTACTCATCCTGACTCTCACCCAGCTCCCTACTGTCTTTCTGAGTCATGATGCTCTCATTATCGTTGAATGACAATAGGTGATATGGGGATTTGGAAAAATAAGACTTACAGAAAAAAAAATCAGACGGGGGTTTGTAGAGAAACTATAAAGTGGGTGTTAAGAGGCTTTATCGTTTTATTTTATCTGCTTTGCCAACAAGAGTAAGGGGTGGGGAAGCTATGTTGGCCTTTAAAATGTGCAAGCATAATTAAGCAATAAAACTGGACATTAACAGAACTGAAGTGTTTTTGGTTACCTTGATTCTCACAGCAGCTCCAGGTATTCGTAGGAGGCCTTCAGTTTCCAGACCACCTTCTTCAATGTGAGAAATCAGCTGTGGGTAATCCAACAAACCTTCTGATATCCATGCAAGTACAGATTAACATCTGCCCTCCATCCCCGCCTGCCCCCCATCAGTGAGTGAAAGTACATTTCAATGGCATGTAAACTGGATTTGATGAGGTTCGGAGTGCTATTGGACCAACATCTTCAAAGCTATGCATACGAAAACATGAGAACCTGGGTTACTATTTTGAAAAAGTTCATTTTATTCTCCTTTGTGAAAGAAATGTCTATTTCACACAACAGCTGCGGTTCTCCACAGGATCAGGGAAAAGATGTTCACCGTGTAAAAGCAGCTCGGAACACCATCCTGCTATGCCAGCAACATGCATTGTGTGGCCAAATAAATACCATGAATTCCAGTATTTGCACATTTATATGCTGTATCTAATCTGTTTCAAGAAACAATAACTCTTATATGGAAGAAAAGGTTGCTAATACTCATTTTAAGCTACTGGTAGTAAGATTAAAGAGGAATGCTTTTAAACAGAGCTTCTAAATACCAACCCTCAATGAATGGTTATGTATCTCCTTCAGCAACTCCACTCAAATAAACTAAAATGAAGATGTAGCAGCCATGGGGCTGGAGACATGACTCAGTGGTTAAAAGCATGAATTGCTCTTGCAGAGGATCCGAATTCAGATCTCAGCAACTATGTAGGCAGCTTGCACCTGCCTGAAACTCCAGGTGGAGGGGCATCTGATGCCTCTGGTCTTTGTGTATTCACATGCCCATACCCCCACACAAATACACATAACTTGTTTTTAAATTATAAATATTTGTTTATAAATGTTAAAAACATACCACAAAATTCAGGCAAGTAGGGAATATTACAGAGGCAAATTGTTAAAAGCTGTGAAGACAGGGGGGGGTGAGGGAGCTTCCAGTTAGAAACCATGGGTCACATGTCCTTGGTAGGGCATGGAGCACACAGAGTGCAGAGCAGCCTCTGTGATATTTAAGGAAATCACTTTTACCTCCTTCTAAATACAAGGCACTTACTTGCACTAAGTGTTTCTTTCCTATACCCCTCCCTACCCCCCTACCCCCCACCCCTGGCCTTTACTCAAAAAATGGAACCCAGACAAGATCTTCCTGCATCTCTGATCTTAGTTTAGTGTTCTCTGCACACCTATAAAATCCTCCAGGGTGCAAAAGAATGCTATCTTCAGGGAATCTCCTGTTAATGATTAATCGGGCACCATAGACCTCATAGAGTTTACTGACGCCCCCCTTGCATATAAAAGTTTGTGTTATGGGAAAGTGTAGCATCCTCTGGGAGGTTGTGGAACCTCTGCCTACATGTTCCAAAGTCAGATGTACCACTTCCAGTGGATCCTGGAAGTGATGGTGATTTTTCCTTAAAGACTTGATCTGTCCTAACCTGTGAATAGATTTTCACCAGGAAATTCATGGATACAGAGGGGTTCCGAGAACATGCCAATAATAGCATCAAATTCTGAGAATACATTATTGGCTGAAGCATCCATCCCTGACCACTCAAAGAAGTACATCAATTTTTAAAATTCAGTGAGGAGGCCTCTGCAATCTCTGGGGCCTTGGGTAGTAGATCAGTGTTTACCATGGCATACAAATGAACTTTGGGAGCCCATTCCATATGGAGGGAACCTCTCTCAGCCTGGGCATATGTCACTACAGACTCTGGAGATCCCCCATGGAGGGCCTTATCCTCCCTGGGGAGTGGTGTAAGGATTGGTTGGGGGGGTTGGGGAGCCTGGTAGAGGGGCAAGGGAGGAGGGGTGGGAGAGGGAGCTGGAATTCGCATGTGAACCAAGCATGTTTCTAATTTAAATAAAAAAATATATTGAGAAAAAAATTCAATTTTTTCCTATACCACATCTTTCAATACCACTGTAGAGAAACTCAGAGAAATAAGAATTAGAAATTATTTGAAATTAGAAGGACATTACTCAAAAAAGTATTTAACACCAAATTTTAAAATATTCCATGTACAGCCAATTTTCATTTATTTCCCCTTATAAAACATTTGCATGTCCTATTACAATATCCATTTGAATGTAGGCTGCTGAAGCCAATCAGGTTTTAATAGTCTACACTTTTCACTTTCATTAAGTACAGAAGAAAATCATGGCTTCTAAACAGCTGAATAGGATTCATTTCTGAATTCTATACTTGAATCTATTTCTAGTGTTCTCTAATGGTGGATACCAACATCAAGAGTTATGTGTGTGCTGTCTGAAACAATACCATGTGCTATCTCCTATTTCTCACTTGGAAAAATCACATATTTTAGCTACATTAATTAATTAGTTCTATTACTGGCTCTTATATTAGTAGGAAACATAGTCTAGCTTTCTTTTAATTTTCAAGACCTCAAATAGACAAAAATAACTATGCTTAATTATGCTGGTTGGGGAAATTTGGGCATTCCATGCTTTATTACTGATCCATAATGTTTCTCAAAATGTAAATTGTGTGTGTGTGTGTGTGTGTTGAAAACTAAAATGGAAATGAAATTAGACCCTCTGTCACAACACTGATTTGACCTATAGTCTTGATAAAAAAGACACTGTTGAATTTGAAAATTTGACAGAAAATGCACTTTCCATAAGGTAAAATTAACATTTCTCTTTACCCAACCCCTTTTACGAACATGGTTTGAACAACATGCCTTGCGGGAGGAGGAGGTCTGAGAAAAACAAAGGATGAAATTAAGTGATACGAGATTGTCTTTGGTTAGTGCCACCTGCCAGAAACTTTCCCTTCACATTAAAGATGAACCCTCTGGAGCCTGGGAGCAAAGGTTTCTGCAAATCAAGTGTCCCTGCCCCATTTTACAAAATGGAAGGACAGACAATGGGAGTATGGGCTGCTGATCAAATGATGCTCCCCACAACACATCTCTGTGGTTTGTTTCTTACAACACAAAGCAGAAGCAGCAAACTGGTGAGAGCTGCCTACCCTTCAACCCTTTAAAGGCATTTTATTTTCAATCTGAACAAAACTGAAATATAAATTCAAAAATGGTAGGTTGCAGGAGTCTCTGGTGTGCTAACGGGAACAAAATTGTAAAATAACTACTTAAATACATCAAATCAAAATTTGGAGAAAAGTAAAAAATGATTTTTTTCCTCAAGATACCACAAGCAGTTATTATTCAGCCCACTGAGGGAAGCATCATTGAACCCTACATGAAGCCAAACTCAGACTTCCCCGTGTGATGATGAACTGTGTGTGCAAACCTGGTTAGCTCTGAGTGGCCAGAGGTTCAGTCAACACTAGTCTAAATGTTTCAGTGACGGCATCATTTTAGAAGGGACCAAGTGCTGAGCTGCAGAATTTAAGCTGTGCAGGTCACCACCTGCAATATGGTGAGCCCCATCCCATCAGGTGAAGACGCAAGGCAAAGCCTGTGGTTTGCAAAGAAACTGTTTCCTCAAGACTGCAGCACCAACTCTTGCCCAAGTTGCTCTCCTGGTGTCTTGTTCCACATATCTCAGACTTGCTGGATCCCATTAACTGCATGAACAAAATCGTTAAAAGAAACCTTTCCACATAGACAGATGCACATATAGGTATAGATAGAGATGTACAGACAGAGACAGCGACAGAGATATAGCTGTAGATTCTATTGATGTTGGAAGAGCTTGCCAAAAGTAAGAAACTGCAAAGGTAGAGCTTTACAATGCATCTTTGTACAGTAGCTCCATCCTTTCAACCTAAGAAGCAATTGGAATATGTAGTCTCTATAAGCTAGACTCTATATCTTAATCAGAATAAGTTATCAACTATTAATATAGATACAATTCAATAGACAATGGCAGAAAAACTCTACAGAACCCTCATCAAGAGACATGTCAGATACAACTTTAGATGCAATGACAGGAAAGAGGAGAGAGGCACCAACAGCATGAGGGTAACAAGGGTAGAAACTGATTTGGAACAGAACAGTGAGTACCAAATAGACTGAGCCTTAGGACTGGCTGAGTCAGTCAACTGAAAAACTGTCTTTACTGTCCTGAGAAATTACAGTTGCTGATACGCTGAGGCTGTTGCAAAGGATCTTTCTTTTGGGTAGTCCACTGATGTTGGGCCTGCCTTCCTTACTGTGTTTTCTTAGGTTTTATCAAATGGAATCTGTTTTCCTGCACAATGATGGCTCAGAGGTTGAGCTGAAATTTTTTCATTGCTACAGATAATCCCCTTATGAATAATTGAGTGTTGACTACACAAGCAACTTGATAGTTTAGCAATCATTTTCTAATTCTACTTTATGGTTTCTTTGCCTACTCTGGACGTGGGCACTGGTAAATTAAGTTGGACAGCCTTACTGCAAATAGGAGAGCATGAGAAATACATACGTGCATGAAATATTCATGAAGATTCAATTCCCTAGGAATTTATACACAGTTCCCACTCCTATGTATTATAGAACTGAAATCTCAATTACACAAAAGCAGCTAATATAAGACAGGAAAATGATGCCAGGCAATCACAGATACAGTAATATCATAGAAAGTATTACCATGAGATAAAAATTATGAGCCCTTGAAACGAATTTGCTTCATGAATAGAAAATCAAAGTATAAAATAAATCAGCATATCAATTGGAGAAGTATATTATCATAGTCTGAGTGTAAAACGTCACTATTAGCCTAAGTGTATTCTTGCTGTACTGGCCAGTTCAGACCTACTTACTTTTTGAAAGATCAAGGGTATTCGAGTTCCTGGTGCTTTCCTTTGATCTTGTTCTAACAACATGGTTAATGGAACACCAAAAAGGCCAGCATCTGCAACAAGAAAACACAAGTTTCCATCAACCTATAAAATAGTAATAAAACCTAACAATATAAGATTCCTTACATTATCACTTATTGATCAGATTATTTGTTGAGGCACCTACTAAGGGAATGATACCATGAAGCCATTAAATAGACACAAGCCAACACAGCCAAAGAATGACTCTGTCTTCTAGAACAATCCAGCAGGCACAAGTATCTAAACAAATGATGGCAATTAAAAAGAGCGAACTGCTGCATAAAATATAGATACTATGAGGACATGTAAACTATTTGAACAGTTGACGAAATGCAATCAAATTAAAAGTTCTGACGTATAATCAAACACCACTTATCTTTGCCTTACTGAATGGACATTGAACACTCCCTGATACAGCTAAATATAAATATTTGCTTTTTGAGAATTACAATCCTGACCAAAAAAGTAGGAGATACCTAGTATTCTTACATTTAAATTCTGTGTGTGTGTGTGTGTGTCTGGTGTGTGTATATGTGTGTGTAATGATGGGTAATATTTGTACATTTTCTAAACTCATCTCTGATGCCATAAGTTTGAAATGAACATAACTGTTACCTACAATATTGTTTCTGTCTCTCTTCTGGGTCTATGGTTACAACAGAAGCAAGCGCTCTGTCCTTTAGAACGACACAATCAAGTAATAACATTCATCTGTAGAAAAGGAGAAGGGACTGGCCTGTGGTTTAAGGACAGACAGGACAGACACTTAACACTGAGAAGAAACCATTTTAAAAAAATAAATTGCCTTTTGGTCTGCTCAGCAGAAGAGTTGTATTCTCAAGGAGTCCAAACACTCAAGATACAGGTATCTTGGATCAAAGCTATAGGTATTTTTGAAAACTACAAGCTACTTCCTCTAATTCCATTTAAACAGTCACAGCCTTAAAATAACATTTTAGTATTTCTCTCTTTACCATATAACAAAACCAAATATTACAACAACAAACAAACAAGAACAGAAACAAAAAACACCTCTGTAAGCCATTTTAAAATCTTGGGCATGCAATTATAGCTATTCAAGCTGTATTCCTACTTTCTCATTGAAAAAAAGGTCATGATGAGTTTTGACAGAAGCATTTAAAGTCCTCATTCTTCATAGGGACTTGGGGAAACCAGAAGCACCATTGAACTCAGAAAGTCACCACTACAAGCCATAAGGTAAAATATTCCAGAGAACTGAGCGTAGAATGCAGTCTTTAGGGTCCGCCACAACAGGGACACACAGAAAGGACCGAAACAGTACACTACATTCCTACAGAGAAACTCTCTATAACTTAAATCAGGTACATACTTGTCTTGGCTCATGTTACCATAGCAACTCAATAAGCCTCATTCTCAGTGCCTCTTTAGGAGACACCTGTAAGGTTAAACAAGAGGACAGAGGCTCCTAAACGGGAAAGCTTTGTCAGTAGAGAATTACCTGAATTTCCAGACCAAGAAAATAAGAGAAGCAGAGACTAAAGGTGTCTGTTCTTTAACATGTTATCAGGATTAGTCAGCTGATGTAATAGATAAGCAAGCTACCTGCAAAATCAGGATGACACAGGGAAAATGAGCACAATGTAGTGGCGTTGCATATCACAGCAGCCTTATTTCACTTACAGGGAAAACTGTTTCCGTCAGATAGCTAAAACTACAGTGTAGGGCTAATGAGATCGCTCTTCAGGTGAAGGAGCATACCACGCAGGCGGGAAAGCCAGAACTTGATCCCTGGAGCCCATAGTGGAAGGAGAGAAGTGACCCATGACAGTTGGCCTCTGACGTCCACACACACATTGTGGCACTTGCAAGCTCGCACTCACATGGACATTTTACATACACAATACTAATAAGTGAAATTTAAAAACAGAATGAAAGTGAACATAGGGGCGGGTTGTGAACTGCCATATTTCATCATGGAATAACAAAAGGAATCACTCAACACCAACCCCTTAAAAGCCATTTTTTGAGATCTGGTTTTGGAAATAGATATGTTTGCCAAGGGGCTCTCAAACAAACAGCATCCTAAAGAGGAAAACAAGAGCATGACAATTCCCTGAGTTACAATTCCCTTTTGTTAGAATTAAATTATTTGGTTGTATATTCTATTTATCAATTTATAAAAAGGTTTAAGGCAATGTTGAGAATTGGAACTCTAGATGTCTAGATGTATTTGAGTCTCAGTTTATTTATTTGGTTGCTGTTCTGTTCCACCACCAAGAATGCCAACCAAGAGTCAAGTCTATTTTTGCTGTTTGGGAACCAAATCTACCTTTACCTTTTGTTTTGATTTTCACAGCTTTCTGTTGTTTGAGTTCCACGCCCAACACATCATACAGGGCAGTGAGTTCAATCAGGGCTAGATAGCAAACTTTCTTCATGTCTTGTGGTGCCAAGTCCCCAATCCTTGTAGTACCAGTTTTATCTTTTGGCAGTCTGAAACTCTAAAACAATAAAAATAAATAAATGTATAAATAATAAATATAAATATATATACATACATATAATTGTATATATAAGCTAGAAAAGGTTATCAGTATCCAACTCATTTTATTCCTTTTGTAATGAAAGGAGAAGACATTCTAACTACAGCAAAAAAAAAAAAAAAAAAAAACAAAGATTATACTCAGACTGAGTGATGATGAAAGTCAAGGTAGGATGTTGCAATCAGAAGGTAAAATACTTTTATCATGGAGAACCCCCAAACTGTAGAGAGTTAGATAATTCACATCTGATGTCTGACATAACGTGAAGTTAAACCAAGTAATACAATGGATCAGAGAACAGGAAAATTGATTTCTGTCTCATGGGACTTCAAGAACCAAAAGTTAGATGTCAGACAGGGACCCTAAGGAGGAGGTCAGAGAGGAAGCGAGGTTAAATGGTCTGCCGGTTATAAACAGGAGGAAGAGAAGGAGGAGTTGCATTCATGAGGATGTCCTTAGAGTATTCCAGGTATCCTCCACATGCACGATGCTCTCCTAATTGTCAAAAAAAAAAAAAAAACCCAAGGAGATTAGTAAAGAAAGTCTATCACCATTAGAATGGGAGAAGAGTAGACTGTAGAGTCAGAGGTTATCAGTTTCCAGCTGCTTACTAGCTGTGGGATTGGGCAACTGCTCAACCTTTCTGTCAAATTCGATGAGAAAGTGGAAGAGGGAAGCGAGAAAGAAGTCTCCTCATCCAGAGGATCACTGTGAGGCTTAAATAGTCAATACAACTAAACTACTTTTGTGTCTGCTACTGTTGCTATTTCACTATTGAACATGCACAGGCCAAGATCCCACCCAGGATCAGGGATCTATAACTGTGTTTTTACTGTTTTGTGCCTTCCTCAAATTTCATCTCCTAATGACTTAACCTCCTTTATCATTAAACACATTAAATATAAGAAAACAAGGCACAAACTAAAAGAACAAATTTCTCTAGCATATTTAATACAAATTACAGTCCCACTGTGTTTACAATGCTCATTCTCCAGTAGTTTAATTAAAAATCATGTCATCAAGACTGTTTCTTTGGGGTTTGCCCTAATTCCTTCATTAGTTGCTAAGATTCACTCTTTAGCATTCATTCTCAGTTCAGGGAAACTTGTGGGTACCAATTAGTCCAAGAGGTCAAGCTTACGAGCCCCAAATTAGTTTTAATGATCTATACTAACACACAGTTCTTTTTTACTTTAACTCTCTCATGAGTGTGTAATGGACTTTTCCAGAAGTAAATCACATGTCTATTCCAACAGACAGAATGCAAAAGAATTGTTTGTATTTTAAAAGGGTATGTATGCCAATAATAGTTAACTTTATTGTAGTATTTTGATTTTTCAACTTAAGATTTTTGGTGCTAGAACTCAAGTGGAGGTTTCTTTTTCTTTTCTTTTTTCATACTGACAATTAAAATTGGCATCTGTACATGCTTGTCAAGGAGCCTCTCTTCACCCAGCAGTCTACTACTGAGACATGGTACCATGCTGAAATTTTAATTTCTGATATAATAAATATCAATAGAGTAGCCTACATGGTGGCTCATATTTATAATTCCAGTACTCAGATGGCTGAGGCAGCAGGATTGCTATAAGGTCAGAGCTAACACTGGTTATACAGTGAATTTCAGGGTAGCCTGGCAACGCAATTAAGACTCTGTCTTGAAAAGCTACATGTATCCATAGTTCAATTAATGTATACACAAGGTTTTTTGAGGTCTAAAATGATTTAAGACCATAATGAAATTTTGAGACCATAAATGTTTGAGAGAACATTTGCCAGCAGAACATAGAACAATTCCTAACATCAGTGGCTTTTGGAGATTGGGTAGCTTTTCATATATGCTCAACTCCAGAGAGCTTGACTGCTCACAATAATAATACTCATAATAATACTTCTAGTAATAATCATAATAATAATAAATAGAAATGATGCTTTCTGAACTTCTGGTAGTACATTTTCCTCTGAAAACATTCAAACAGCAAGGGGTATGTACCATGGGAGAAAGAGTCTAAGTACATCTTAAGTGTTCATTCATTTGACCTCCATGGTGCAATACAAAATTGAGAATGCAGAGCTACACTGCAGGTGGCATATCCTGTCCCTGTCACCTACTATCTGTGTTAGGTTTTCATCACTGTGACAAACTCTTGAGAAAATTCAACTTACAGAAGGACATTTATTTTTGTTCAGAGTGTCAATCCATAGCAGAGGGGATGGGAGAACCGGGGGCAAATTTCAGTCAAAATCATATCCTAGTGGTCAGAAAACTGAAGGAGGGGATGAAGGGAGAAAGGAAAGGAGGAATAGGACAGACGAGGTGGGGTGGGGGAGGGTAGAGAGACTGGGGTGGAGGGAGAGAGAGAAGGAGAAAGGGAAAGATCTGTAAAATAGAAACCACAGATCATACCACACTACCTCACAGGGTGAGGATCCAATGACACAGGTAAGCACTCAAAAGTACATACAAAGGTGCAAACATACATACATATACGCATGTTCACACACCACACATGTATACACACATACACATGTACACACATATATACACACCACACACATGTACACATGCACATATTATATATTTGCACCAAATACATGGGTGTATTTGAAAAAAGGGTCTCTTGTGTAGCCAAAGCTGTCTGCAAATTCCCCAAGGCTGGCCTTGAACTTCTGATTCTCCTGGACTCTCTATCAGAGATGTAGACAATGGTCTACATGCATATTGTATTACGCTATTTTTTATGAGTGAAATTTAAAAATCATTTGAAAATATTTTTGGTTTTGTTTTCCTGAAAGTATGGTCCTGGAAGAAAAAAAAACCAAGTGTGATACTCACATTTGATAAATGGTATCTCACTATATTCTGCAAAAAGTTCCACCAGGGTAAGAATCAGGGCATACTCGAGGTGTGGGGAAACAGATTTTTAGGAAGACTCTGGCATGGCTGCATAGACAATGGACATCAGTCTCTGACTGTTCCTGTCTGTTTTTGTTGCCTGAAAGTCCAGGCAACTTTCCCGTCCTACTCAACTTCCTCATCGTCTAGGGAGGTAGGAACAGTGTAGGTTGATAGAGGATAGTGAGCCCCTCTCCAGACCCAGTATCTCTCTCAGGGCTAGCATGCCTCAGGTGCTCTGCCACAGTCTAGGGAAGGAATGAAGAGACACACCCCACACAGAGAGGAGGGCCAGTGTTGTCTCTGTTGTTTAGCAAGACAGGGTCTCTCTTACAGCCCAGAAAGAACCACACAGAGAGGACCACTATATGAAGCTGCTTCATCAGTGTTATCTCTGTTGTTTATGGACACGGGGTCTCTCTCACAGCACAGGAAGAACTCATAATCAAGAACCTCCTATCTCTACCTGCCAAGTACTAAGATTTTAGCTGCATACCCGGTGTACACTGTATTCATTCTTACTCAAGTTCTTCTATGTCCTCTGATGTCCTGTCATATTTCCTGAGCTTTCGTTAATTAAAGGCAATGGTGGATCTTGCAAGTGCTGTGCAAACATCTGTCCTCAAGCCACATCATTGGCCCTGAGATTTACTTTTAAAACCCACATAAAACATGTCCCATTCTTCTCACACATGACTTTGTACATCTGCTAATGGCTTTGTTTCCAGAAATGCTGAACCAACCATATCTACCCATTTACATGTTCAAAAAAACCAACAGTTCAAGTGTTTCATTAAAATCAGTTGCTTTGGGTATAATAAGCCATGTAATATAATTAGCTAAAAGTATTACCCAAGGTAAATGTTTAGAGAAACGTGAAATGCTATTAGTACAAACATTTAATTTACCTAGCAATGTATGTCATGAGCTTGTTTATTTATTGATTTAAACATTGTGCTTAATAAAAAGAGTTGGTTCTTTATCCCAATGTTTAATTCATAGCAGCTGTTTTAAATATTTATGAAGTTTCCTGTCAGTTATTTGTGTGTGTGTGTGTGTGTGTGTGTGTGTGTGTGTGTGTGTGTGTTTTAAAAAACAAACCGGATGGTTCAGTTTCTTGACTGAGAAAAAAATGAAATTTCAGCAAAAGTAAAGTACCTTACTTTGGAATAATGTATTTTTTAAAGAAATAAAAATTTTCCAAAATGCGTAAGGTTCTTAGGGCTTCTATGCAACATCAACTCATGAGCTAGTTTTTTAACTGTACCCTTTTGTAGGCTGTGAAGTACAGTGTGTGGTGGGGGTATTTTGGGGACTTTATTAGTAATGATGAAGTTGAATCTTTTACTCACCAGCCACTCCCACTTTCGATTCAAGTTGGAAATCAAGAGCAGAAAATGCTCAGAGTCAGGGCCTAACATGTTCCATCCTCTAACTTGTTTGCACATTTGAAAGCTAGGGGTGATAGTATCTAGATCACAAAGATTACTCCAAAAATGAGTAGCAGTTACAAAGCACCATTTTCAGACTATGACATGGACACAATGTACACAATAGAGCTAAGTTTACAGATGGCTGCACCTTGAAAGATATTAAATGTAATCTCCAAATTTAAGAGAAGAAATGTGAATCCACTGTGAGACCATAAAGAATTTACAAAGAGTGCCTGATTTTGCAGGACTAGGGTAGTGAATGAGAAATGAGGTCACCAGAAAGCAGCTCATTACATAAAGCCCACTGTTTATTTACAGGGGAAGGGAAGTGTAGCTACAGAATGGAACTCATGGCTCTGTTTAGACACCTACTTTAACGTGGCACCAGCAAATATTCATTTCATCAACCATGTTATGGACTTATGGAAGCGATACAGCATGCCCACACATAGGAGGCATTTCTGAACCATGGTTATAGAGATGGACAGGTACATACAGATGAAAACCAAATGCAGAGATGATTGACAGCCACCAAACCTATGGTACTGATCAGGGCAAAGGCACTAAATATTTTATAGACTGAGTTCAAGCCAAGCAAAACTGGACTGAGAAGTGAGCTGTTAAGCTAG